GTTTAAATTTAGTAGTTAATTACGATTTGATTACGAGATGACGTAGGTGTAACTCACTTAACAGGGAGCTAACTAGCTGTGTCCTTTGTTATTCACTAGCCACACTATTCTAATTTTCCACCATAAATTTATATAATGTTTTCATAAAAATACTAATGTCCGATGAAAATCCACTAAAGTTAAATGACTTGTAATGTTCGAACTTTGTAAATGCTCCTGGTCAAATAAGTTTTCCGATTGATAACATTACAACAATCAAAGGTATAGCTTTCGAAGTTTATAGCAAACTAATAATAGATGCTCTCTTTTTAGTACATTGCGTTGGTTATATTTATAGCCGTGTGAAGAGTTTCTTGAAATTTCAGTGTTAAATAACAATACTGACGCTAAGAAAAATGTTTACGTACACATATATATTGTTGATTCTTACTCTCAAAAGTATTCTACAACTTTAGAGAATAGGCAAGAGTTTCGCAATACATATTTAACAGTATAAGCTATGTATGTTTATAAATATAAATTTAATCTAAACAAACGTCAATATCAAAATAAATATATAATAACAAATCCATCACAACATTATATAGACTACACTAACATGATGTTTAGGCGGTTCAGGTTCATTTAACTATTATACATAATGTACGTTTTTGGAGAGGATTAATGAAAGTGTTCCAAAACCCAACACTAAAGTCTTGATGACTTAATATATTGCAAATGACTGATATACAGAAAACGTGATTTTAAAAAATTTTTTGCTCCCTGAGAAAAACTTGCTTATTATTACAGAAGAAAACCACACAAATTCAAGGACACCAAAATAAGCATGGAGCAAAGAAAACAATGACCTGTAGCATATACAGACTTACTATATGGATATATATCTAAAGCAACTGAAGATTCAAAAAAGTTCTAGTGACTCTGATAATTTCTTTGCTCCACAACAAAATATTATTAAAGAGGAAAAGTAGATGAATTCATTGACACCACATAAGTATGTAGCAAAGAAAATATGGGACTATAACATACATCCAAAACGACTGAGACGTGGAAACCCTCTGATGACTCTGATCATTTCTTTGCTCTATGACAAAATGTACATATTATTGAAAAGGAAAACCAGATCAATCCAGTGACACCAAAGAAATAAGGGCCTATAATATAAGCAGATATATGCACTTATACTATATGCATACATGCCAAACAATGGAGATACAGAAAACTCTCTGGTGACTCTTGATAATTTCTTTGCTCCATGACTAAACTTACACACTATCGAAGATGAAAACCAGATGAATCCAATAACACCAAAATTGGTGTAGCATAAAGAAAATAATGGACTATAACATATGCATATATACAAAATGACTAAGGTAAGAAAAACCCTCTGGAGACTCAGGTAATTTTTTTGCTCTGTGACAAAACTTGAATACTATTGAAGAATGAACCAGATGAATCTATTGACACTATAATTGGCGTGAATCAAACAAAATAATGGCCTATATTATATGTGTTTATAACATATTCATACATCCAAAACGACTTAGGTATGGAAAAGGCATTGGTGGCTCTGAAAATTTCCTTGCATCACAACAAAACTTTCATATTATTACAGAAGAAACCCTGACAAATTCATGAAATTTTGGTTCAGGTGTGTAGTGCAACTACATATATCTGTGTATATAATAGGCCATTATTTTCTATCTTCCATGATGATTTAGGGGTTGTTGAATTCAACTGGTATTCTTATTTAATGATATATAAATTTTATTGCAGAAGAAAGAAATTGTCAGGGTCACAAGTGACTTCCATATCCCAGTCGTTTGGGATATATGCAAATAGTACAAGCACATATATTCTTATTTTCTTTCATCTACTCAAAGTTTAATGTCGCCGGATTTGTATGGGTTTTCTCTTCAGTAATATGAAAGTTTTG